GTTGCTGCAAGATAGAGCCTGACTTATGTTGTGATTTTTAACTGTTAATGGACATTATTGATAAGGTACAATCAACTTGTCATTTTATTATTTGTGATCAATTGCTTTTATGTTTACAATCCCATCATGACTGTCCAAAATTTGATGTAATGTCTGGCTAATATATGGCATCAGTTACCAGTTCTGTTGTTTACAAACACTAAAAGGCTTAATAATAGGTCAGTAGCCATCACCTGAGCAGGAAGCTGGACATCAGAAAGACCCTCCCACTGAATTAGCATTTCAAAGACCCATCTGTGTCTAGTCCAGATCTGACGACTGGCACCAGCCTCTCCATCTCCATCCTTTGGTTTCCCCATGATGCTCTGGTGGCCATAGAAACAGCCGAGGGGTGAGTGTGGAGCTGATACATGCCTCACTCACGTGCCGAAATGACTTGGTAACAACACAAGATGTAAAAGGTAAAGTTTTATTTGCCTTCAGAGCCCAACACTGACCCTATTATATGGAGCAAGAATACTCATTACCTCTCTGGTGTATTCGTTAATCAAGCTACAGCACTGAGAGCGGATAAAAAGACTGTCGCAGTAAAGTTGCTCTGTGGTTAATCTTGGGATAAATCGTGAGCAGGTACCCACCTCCAAACTCGATACAGATAAACAGCTGAGACCACCGCCAAGAGCATGAGAAGAATCAGCCCCCTGACATTTCTATTGTCTGCACTGAAAGGAAAGGTTGCCCAGCAGTAATTACATCTGAGGAGGTTGTCCGGGATACCACACTTATGTTTGTGTGGATGAGGCCTAACAAGTCTAATGCTACTTATAATATCAGGTGTTAACTCTGCCTTTGTGGAACTACTATGGGGATTCTTTAATATGTTTTGAATGTGGATTAAAATGTGATTGGATGTGATCATTTTGGTTGGTGGAATACAATGATTCTTAAGTACTGAATGGAGAAAAAAGAAGTTAACAGAACTTAAAAGTGCTAGCGTGCTAAATGTTATATTTATATGCTAAACTGCTCCATCATCTAGCAACTGGTTAGCACTATTTAAAAGTTATGCTATCCCTTATAGATTTTAATATAAAAAAGTGCAATTAACTACATCTTTTTATATCGACTTACTGTGGGGGATCTACAGATATTAAAAAAAGCATTTACTCCTGAACTGTAAGGTATTTGGTTCAAGCCCAGAGATTGCAGAGAAGACCGTTTTATAAACGAAGTAGACAGAACACATAGTTGGCTGCTTTTCAAGGTTGTTTGTTGCCCTTTGAGAACAAAACTTCCTATAGTGTCTGCCTCAGTATAACATTGACAAAAAATACCTTATACAACGATAAGTTACAGCCATCCCGTGGAGGAAAAGAAAGCCTTATCTGTTTTGGTGATAATTAATGGATACGTTTTCCCACAACAAACAACAGACAATGGAGACAAACAATGGTTTAAGATTGGAGGTGCAGTGCTCACTCATCACAGTGGAGAGTAAACCTCCTCCTCAGCCTGGATAAAAGGATTATTTATGCTTACCCAGAGAGGCCTGGTCCTGCCACGTCCACTGCTCTGCCGCTCATTACCTCAATATCAGTCACCCTTTGGGGCAAGTACCAAGAGCTTAGCCTACTCGTATTGTTAGCCAATAGCAGCCTCATCAAAAACCCTGCCCTAAATATTCAAGTCAACCGTTTGAAACTTACAATACTGAGAAAGATGGATGTATTCTGCATTTTAAATATATTGGGTGATGCCATAATAGAGACGGGACAGATTGAAAATATTTGTTAATTATTTTTTTCCCAGGCCATTTAGGGAAATTACATTTCTTATTCACACATTTTAACAGAAAATTTACCACTAAATGAAGCAGGGATTCAATTAATATATATATATATATTAATGAAACCATTTAACAACAATTAAGTAGGAAATGTATGCATTGTATAGATATTTTATAGCAGATGTTTAGGGAGGATACAGGTCTTCCATAAAATGCCAAAATGACCCTGCGTGTAAAACGTGTTTTCGTTCATGTACAACAAGATGAGGTATGAAAGGTATGAAGTATCCTCCTTTCATATCTGCTTTTAGTGCTTTCACCCCAAAATCTACACTTGTTATTTTCCCTATCTGCTTTCGGGCCATTTTAAGATATGGAAATGAACCAAGCAGCACATAAATATGCATTTCATTCAAGTCAGAGACCATGAAAGCCTTTTGATAACATATTAAGAATCTCCCTGGGCACTAAAATAAAGTTATGAGACTTTATATTCCTCAATCAATCATTTGTACTCTGGAATCCCTGTTAAGTCTGAAGTTGTGATCTGTAGCTACCTGGAATGCCCTCTGAGCCAAAACCACACACTTCCACTTCTAGTTTGATATTTTTCTGTCAAAATCCTGATAGCTGTTGGTAAAGGGGCAGTCAGTTACACTAGGAGACAGCTAGGGTGGACTATTGGTCGACTGAGGGAGTACTTTTTATACCGAAGGGGCTTAGTTGATGGGTCTTCAGATAGACATAGCATAAAGCTAATTAACAAGAATGATCATTTATACCTCACTGCTTATCATGGGAGCGCATGTGGCAGCTTCTAAGATGTGTACACAATCCTTCATTATCAGACATCCCACTGGTATCAATGCCACCACAGTCAACTGGAGCGGAAATACGGAAGGATTAAAGAAGACGTCTGCCCGTTTTAGTTAGTCTACATCTGCTGAATGCTGGTTGGCAAAATGGTTATGATTTATTCTGAGTCACTGCTATGTTAACTACATGCAAAATCCATCATTACTTTTTCATAAATAAGCTCTGGTGAAGAGGGCCCACTTTGGAAAATAACACATTTGAAACAAAAAGCTCATGAGATACAATCACACCTGTTAACACCAAAACATCACACTAACAGCCCCATGTTTGCAGGTGGTTGGGACCTCTCATCTGACCCTGTGTCTCCACACCCCAAGGAACAGGATAATGAGCCATGTGCACAGCAGGCCTCCAGCCAGGAAACAGGCTCCCCCTGAATACACCTCTTCAGCAGGTTAGCTTCAATGACCACTATGCATGTGCGTTCAAATGATTTGTGTTAAGGACAGGTTTCAATTATTCTGACAATTAGATCCATTGTCAGCTTTGTGTGAAGTTACCAACTATAGCAAGAGATTTAAGTACCAGTATACAGAATATGCTCCAAACTTTACTCAAGAAACTCATTCATGACTCTGTTCAACAACCAGCACATAACAGGATCTACTCGGAGTCTCACGCACTTCAGATTGTACGAGACAATGTTCTTTGGGGGAAACAGAGGACTGACATTTTGATAATCCAAGAGAAAGGTCAGGAGGAGCACCAGGACAGTGCATTGTCAAAGGCCACAGCAGAGGCTTCCACTGCATTTCTTCACTTCAAACCCCTCCAGCAGGTCAACAGCACACAGACTATAACTATAAAGAAACCCACTATACACAGTCTGTGAACATTAGACCAGTGTATTAATAGTATGTTTTTCAGGGGTGCAACTGTTTACCACCAGTTTTTCTTTGCCATTCTAAATGATAATTGATATACATCACCACAAAAGCCTCAAATAACCACAACATAGAGGCTTCCTCAAAAGTCTAGTAACCTTTTTATTCTTTGTTCAAGTTTCTTGGCTCTTACTCTTACAGTCATACAAAACAGGCAAGTCTAGACTCATTTTGCCTACAGTGCCATGATGCAAAAATCTCATAGTTGAATGTCTCTATTTGAGCTGCTGTAGTACAAACAGAGGTAGGATATTGACCTACCATTTACATGGGACCATTGTTGATTGGTAGGGTCATGTTACTCCAAAGCAGATGTGACAGCATTTATGGGCACTAGGTTGAAACTTACACTAGTTTATTAATGCCTGCTGTGGTGGTTTCTTTTGTTTTTTTCATTGTCATATTTGTTTAAATAGATATCTATATTATATTCAGAGAATCCCCAAAGTGCATCATACTGTATCAGGGGGTTAACCTTAAAGACAATAATACAATTGTTATTAGAAAATAATAAAAACAACTTCCACCCTTCTGCAAGAGACACCTGCTAGCAAACAGCTATATAAAGCTACCACACGTGAGCATACAAACAAGAAATGCCCATCATAATAAAAGCCTATATACACTAAATGGTATAAACTTCTTAGAAATGTTATATTTGAACTTTTTATAACCGCACACTTATTTCAGTAATTTGCCATTTGGCTGCGATGCCTTCTTTAGTTTTCGAATACAGGCTTATTTATAGCTCTGGAATAACACTATTTTGGTATTGACCGGAAGTGGGTCTTAGTGATACTGCTTAACTTGTCAGAGAAGTGCTACTGTCTCACAGCTGTCACCTTGTGCTTTTGGTATTCCACTTTTTCCTATTAAGTTACACAATACACGGTGATTCAACTGCACTTAGATAATAGAAAGACAATAAATAAACAGTCTACGATGCTCCAAATAGTTTTCCAAAGAGGCTACTACACCACGGCTACATCACCAGGAAGAGACTCATGCATCGCACCTTCCTGATGTGTAACAAACAAAAACACTTTGCTCTCTCATACCACACTGTATTTACGTGTTCGGTAAGTGACTTAAACATATGCCAAGCTGATGTCTTGACACTTTTGCGCTGTGTTCAAGGATCGGCCTGTTCTTGTATCGTTACTTGGCTTCAGCATCGCCTTCACGTAGCAAACAGAAACACCCACCCCTCCTGCACCATTTCCGTGTTTTATACGTGCCACGTCAATTAAATATAAATGTGTGCCCAATGCAACACTAAGAGACCCATTATTGGGTGTAAATAATGTTGTTATAGTAAAACCTGTGCTGTTACGGTCTGCGACATTGTTCCGGGAGGAGATACAGCCGGGTTAATAAGTAAAGGGGGTGCATGACGTGTCTAAATCAATGAGTGAAAGATAGCATGAAACATGATGCAAAACAACACAACTTACCTAATGCCACCTCGCAGGCTTTACGCAGCTGAGAATGGTGAGCCTTTTTCACCTCTTTGTCGGCCAAGATCTTTTCCAAAGCTCTGGTTAGAAACATGTTTTTCGTCTTTTTGCCCTCATACATGTCGCACAGGAATTTGGGGCGAGGAGTACCTGGTCCCAAAGGGGGCTGCGGCCGCCTCGATCCGAAATGTATTCCTTTTCAAATGTCAGCCACACAGCCCCTAACACACAAACATAAATAAACACAGAAGGTGGGGTAAATCCCTCAGATTTCCATTAACAACCTGACTCCTGCGCCATGTTGGAGAGAGGAAACGACGTCACGTACGTTTTAAGATCGGCCGCAGTGAGGCAGCACGGAGAGGGAGCCAGCTGAGCCTCCTCCCAGACAGAGCTGAGTGTGCAGACACAAGCAGCAAAACAATGCATTGACTAACTCACTTTTGTATCATAATCTATTTGGATTTTATCTTGTGTGGTGTTTGTGTATGTGAAAGTAATTTACCTTAATAAATATGAATTAATAACTAAATACCTTTATGAAGTGTTATTAGCCATAGAGGTCTAATTATTTGCTATATAATGATATTTAAATATAAGTATATTTAAATATAAGTATAGTATATGCTGAATAAGGCCACTGCATAGGTATATAATGGCTCATTATTATGAATCTTCAATCAAGAAATTAATAAAAATATATTAATAGCTTACAATTAAGTAAGCTATTAAAAGTATTGACGAAGGGCATGATCTGTATTTTTCTTTTCTCTGAAGTCATCATTCATCAATATTTTGCCACTATTGTTTGATGCTACAGTACAACACCTGCATGTTTAGCATTGCCACAGAGTGCTGCAGCTTTGAGCAATGTTTTGCAAAGTTTGGGAGCAAACACCCAGAGATAACCTGGCAATCTGACAGCACTGTTTTGGCAGCAGCAGGCAGCACAGTTCAATTTGGGCCGTTTATGTATCCAACATTTCTGAATCCATAAATAAGATGGGATTTGGAAAGGTATTAGGAGTCAATTGCCAGATCTTAGCAAGAGGACATACAGGAATGACACAGAAGCAGTTTACAAAATGTTTATTAAGAAATATTGCTTACTAAAAATGTGTAAAAAATAAAACCAAAATATTTACAAAACGCAAAGATGGCGTTTCACAGTTGCAGAAGTCTTTTTTTCAATAAGTTCAAAGTAATGTAAAGGAATGACAAACATATGTTATCTTACAGGCACTTTATTATTATTATAATAATTATTAAATACCGTAGGCTATAGACAGATGGCAAGCTCTGAATGTAATAAACAATATTGTACTAGTGAATTAGAATACTAGTCAGTTTCAAAAACACCTGCTCAGAAATATACTACTATGAATATGTCAGTACAGTACAAATTAATATAGGCTACATTTGACTCTGCTGCCTTTGATTTATACCTGAGAACTAATGACCACTATTAATTTTCATATCTTTCAAAATATACCAACAAGAGTGTTGCAGTTATGAAGGCACAATGTTGATTTCATTTAACAGGAAAGAAAATCCACCAAGTATCCAATATCATGCTTCAGTAAAATAGTTCATGTCTCTAAAAGTGCTATAACAAGTGCTCATATAACCACCATGCACTTATGGTTGATACTTGCCTTATTGCTGTCTAGTTATTACAATGCTACGAAGGTCTTAGGTCATATTAAACTTGGTACACTGAATATGCACGTGCTGAAGATGTCATGACCCTCGAATGTTTAGGCAATGACCTTTGACACTGCATGTGAGATGTTTGTGAAGTCCTGGTGGTTTTAGCATTATTGACTTCCAATCCTATCAGATAATAAAATCAATATAAAAACATTATTATTGCTGCTCTAGTCTTTATTACAATGTTATGAAGGTCTTATGATTAGGCAGTGACCTTTGACACTGCATGATAGATGTTTGTGAACTCTTGGTTGTATTAGCATTATTGACTTAGAGTCCTATCAAATAATAAAATCAAAATAGAAACAAGAAAAAAACACTAGCTCGTCATACTTCCTTTGTTTACCTGATAAGAACTAGAGTATAATCAAACAGGAGATGAACAGATGTGATGTGATGTGGTCTTCATATATATGGAAATGTGTTACTATCTATCTCACACTTCTTGAGCAGTCCTGTAGCAATGGTCTTCACAGCTCTCATGGTTTCAGTGCAGGTCGGGTTGATGAGAGATTCAGGCAGAAGAAACCCAAAGTACCCCGTGTCTCTGAGTTCAAATGCAAATGTGTAAGGGATCCCATTCCTGTAGGCCCAGTCTATGGAGCTGCCTGATGTAACATCTGAAATACAGAAATACATTACACATCTGTCACATTGTTACTTGTCTAACTTAATAATTCAGTTAATAAAGACAAAGTGAAATTCACTAGCCACTAAACAAAAATGTGATTGTTTTTGTTTATTCTTTACTATTGTGTTCTAAGAGGTTTGAGGCTGAACTAGTGGAGCACTTATAGGTATTTTTGCTTGATGAGTTACTTACACAGAGTGGTGGATGCTGGTCCATATCTGTATTTTACTCCATATGCAGAGTACAGAGCTGACACTGCAGTCTGAGCTGCTGACTCCTGAAAATAAAAATTTCACATACTTAGGCTTATTGACAAATGACAACATTTGTGTTATTACAATACAAATTAGCAGAGGTCACATACAGATGTGCTTCAGTACTTACCACACAGTTGAAGTTTGGGATGGTGGCATACTTGTATGAATAGGGGTACAGCAGCATTTGGGCGTAGGCGTGGATGGAGATATAGGCTTTCACACGTTTCTTGTGTTTGCGCAGAAACTTGGCAACAGCTTTTACCTCAGGTTCAGACTCGGGATAAGGGCCACAGTAAGTATCATCACAGGGATGGGAGGAGGCGCCTTCCTCTGAAAGAAAAAGATGGGAAAACTATAAAGAAGTGATAGAACATAAGGCAATGACAGTCTGTTCCTCCAAGCAAAATTTGGTTATACACCATTTAGATCACAAGTAAATATCAAAGGATCACGCCACTGCAGTCTGAATTATTTATGGTTTGTATGCAATCCTTTTGCAATGGCCATGAAAGCAGTCAACAGCTAAAAGAAGACTGGAACATATATTTGAATAGAGAAGGTAATATTATACTCTGAACTACAGAAAGAAAAGTGCTTACATTTCAATTACCGGTACAAACCAAATAGGATAGTGAGAAAAATATAAATGAAAACAGAAAGCAGCTATCATCTGCAAGTCTCATTGTTTCATAATATGCATAATTAACATATCATTTCAGAAACTTCCATTTAATTATACGTCTCTGAAATTGTCACTCTCAAAATATTGTCGATAATGATGGCTACACATGAAACTACACACAAACATGTTTTCATAGCAATTAAAGAACAGGAAGTAAATAATTCTAGTGTATGTTGAGTTTAAATCTGCCCTTAAACTCACCACACCATTTTACTTTCCAGTTCCTGTTTGCATCCACTCCCCTGCAGTGAAACTTGCGATTCTTGGAGCGTGTTTTTCTCCAGAATCGATCCTACACAAAAGTATATACATTACTGTACCACACACCAGTATTTTTTTTTACTGTGATTAAGATTTAAATGTCCTTACTGTGGTCCAGCTGAAGTGGTATCCATCCACATTAAAAACTGGCATAATGTAGAAGTTGAGTTGGTTGAGCAGCCTCCTCATCACAGAGTCATGTTTATATGAGGACAGGGCCTGCATTTACATAACACTATTTTAATATTCTAGTCTATTCAATCAAGACAATTTTTTTTTAAGAGTACAACTACAATCAGTTAATAATAATAAGGACTGGACAGAAAAGCGGTCACTGTGTGTACCTGCTCAATCAGATTTAGCTGGGATCTATACTGTACTAGTATTCACCAAATGCTTAAGTAAAATTGGATCCTGACCTCCAGTGGCCAACTTTAGTTACTACACAGCACATCCGGTGTTGAGAACAAGTCTTTTGTACTAAACTTAAAGTCAAGTGTAATATAAAAACATAAAAGCAAATAAAGGCAACAATAGTAAGTTATAAACACATTATATAACAATAATAATGTTGTCTGTTGCACTGAAAGTCCTCTTGACATTTTCAACTGAATAATTGATCACAGGTTTTCACATTAGATTAGACATGTGACACTGATCTCGTAAAAGAACACCGACACGACCTGCAAAAAATATTACGTGTTATATTTTTTATAGTTTTCTGAAGTAATGACTTTTCCTTTTGTTATATGAGCACAAGGAACAGATGTCCGGAGATTAGGCAAGTTTACAGCCCACAGACTACATTAAGCTGACTGTAAAGTACATAAGAGTTTGAGAAATGTGTTCAATAGATTGTCTTGAAAAGTACAGACCTCCTTCACAAACCACTGACAGAAAGCAGGTCCGATCCATTCCCGTGCATGGACACCACAGTCAATCCACACGGCTTTCTTCTGAGGCCGACTTCTCTTTCCTAGCTGACAGCATACACACAATGTTTTGTAGTTTATTTGTGCTGAGCTGTAATTTATATCTAACAAATATTAGTACTACCTGGAGGACATAAAGAGGCCTTCCTTCATATGATTTTCCCACAGAAAACATGTCGACAAGGTCTGGGTTAGTTCGGTTCATCTCAAACATCCAGCTTTGGATCTTTAGGGGAAGAGAGTAATACATTAGTAAATAATACAATCACCAAATATTCACAATATTTAAAAATGACATAATTTATATTAGTTGAGGACTAAGACAAAAATATAACAAACTAAAGCTATCTGCTGTTTATCTATTTTATGAAAGAATTACAGAGAATGATGGAGGGTGAACAATAGGAAGAGCGGGTGGTGTAAAGTATGCTTTTGGCCATAGAGCTGCATTGAACAAAAATACAGGATATCATGACCGTTATTTAGCAAATAGCAGATGGTCACAGGGACAAGATCACAATTCGATTTGTATGGCCATGTTGTCCAGCCCGAATTTACATGTATCTTGCATATATATGGCTTTCAGAATGATGAAAAATTTGTGCATTTTGTTTTATCTAGCAATAAACAGGAAACTGAAATCCGTCAACATGTGTCAATGTTGGTAGTAAGAGTAATTGCTAAGTTAAAAATGTGCACAAGCTGTGCAGTGTCAAAACACAGTGACAAGTTCATGTGGTATAATCAACATGGAAAAATAAACAGTGAGAAGTGTTGGCGAATGAACGTTATCAGAGTGTTTGGAGTGAGACTGAACCTGGTAATTGGAAGTTTTGGAGCATTTAGAGTTCTCTGTTTGCATACAGAGAGCTAAAATACAGAGTGGTACTGTACCTCTTCCAGTGAGTGGTAAACCTCATAGTCGTATTGAGAAGCTGACCTCCGCCTACGGGACGAGCGGTACCCAGTCTGCTTTTCTATTTCCTTTTGCAAGTTTGTGATAAACACTCTGCAGATATATAGAGTTATATATTAGAATATAAACCTGTTAAATAACATAATTATACAAATCTACAGAAGTTGAATTATAGCCTTTATATATATATATATATATATATATATATTTACGTTTTTGTCTAAAATTCATTCACATTTTCTAAAACAATATATCACTAGACAAACAATTTTTATGACATATGGGCTTACCACATTTTGATTTTGTAAGTGGCTGGGGAAATTACAGCAAGGGCTAAGACTGAAGACGAGTGAATATGAATCTTTCTATTTCTGGGAATGTTTTCGGTTTCAGCTTGTCATCATTCATATACAATGCCTACAAATGGATCTGTAACCTAAATGCAAAAGCCTCACTCAACACAAAAACAAAAATACTTTCTTTTTAAAGCTGCAGTTCCTCCCTCAGGACAAAGATGACAACGAGACTCTTTCAAGCTAGTCCTGCGGCTGCTTTGATAAACTTCCATCATTTCAGTGATAATTTTGATGAAGGCTGGGCTGGGACGAGACAGGGACATGAAAGCCTGTTCTCTGGAGCAGATCGGAGAAGAGCTCTGATGCACTGCAGCTGTTTCATAACTTTAAAGGACTTTTATATAAAACTATTTCCTGCTCTGCATGTGGGAATCATACATTACTAAAGTTTAAAGATGGGAAATTTCTGTGGTATATGTATATATATATATATATATATATATATATATATATATATATATATATATATATATATATATATATATATATATATATATATATATATATATATATATATACACACACACACACACACACACATATATATATAAAATTTGATCAGAAGTACAGGCTGTTTTTGGCTACATATGTTTAGTGTATGTGTCATCTGTTACTTACTCATAACTGATGTGCTCCTGCTTCAAACATGTATGAAGCCTGAGTACATCATTGTGTTTCACATGCACATCCACTGTGGCATTGTGGGTGATCATAGAAAGGCTGTTGGGCTGCCAGAGATCCACCTTAAAATAAGCCAAACATACATTTAAAGGTAAAATAGTCATTACAAAACAGTTCAATTACAAGTGGCATTCAACTGTATTCTGCCTTTCTCTATATCCCAGCTGTTCCATGCAAGCAAGGGTAAATTGTGGACTGAAGTAGATGGTCTGCACTCTGCAAACCCTTTATAGTGGCTTACACAGTCATCAATGGTGGAATGTCAACCAAGAGGCACACGCAAGATCAGGGGATGTTAAATGCCACCTCTAAATGGAAGTCCCATCTGTCTCGCACACTTTGTTCAGAATGACTTGCCCTTGTACTGAACCACCTGAACAAACAAGTCCACACAACTACATAATAAACACCACATAATAAAGTTAAATCTCAAATACTAACCTTATCATTGCCAGTGTCTCTCAATGTACATGTACATACCGCCTTCCCCGTCTAGACTACCATCCATGGATTTGATAGTGCCAAATTGAGACAGTTGCTTTAGCAATTAATAATTCAAAGCGGAATATTGTATCTATCAAAAATCTGTGAAAAGTCCTCAAAATGGCTTCTATCTATTCTGTTCAAACCGATTGAGTTGAAATTACTTTTCTTACATTTTTTGGTATGATTAAAGTAAAAACTCATTACAAATTCAGTCAATCAAAATAATGGTTGCATAATAGGAGTGAGCATTTCCAGATGAAGCATTAACTGTTGCCAGAGTGCTTAAAACTTCTCAAACATTTTGTGATAATTACCAAATGGTTTTGTGAGTCTGGTGGGTCTGAATGTTGATAATAACTAGTGCAGTGTTAAAGGGTCAAACCACTCTGTGAAGTGTTCTCTTAACAACCCACAGTTAACAGCTCACTTTGACCGTATATGGGAGGTTAAATCCACTCATTTAGTTATCAGCCAACGACATTCAGACTCCAAGCACCACACATAAACTTGGGCTGAAAAGACAATGAGAGAAGAATGTGGACCTACTATTGCAGTGTTGCTGCCATGTCCCACCTGGCTTTGATTTGGCATGGTTTGGGCAAGCAGGCTGGCACACGTGCTTCTTAATGTGTCAGTACCTTTTAATAGTTTACAGAAAGCACACCTAATTATTTAACATTACTTACAGGTCATAGAGGTCAATAGAAAGGTCTACCATCTCCAAACTGGTTTATGGTGTTTCCAAATGGTTAAATACCGTAAATGTTCAAACACAAACAAATCCAAAACAGAAAGCACACTTAAATTTCCTCTTAAATATCAGGTTAGACAAACAGCTCTTTGAAGGTAAAGTTTATAGCAGGATTAGACAATCTTCATCTGTTGTTTAAACACTTAATTTATCCTTGTATGTTGATACTTTTAACTCAGTTGGCCGATGTATTGGGCTGATATTTGCACTGTTTAGCATATAAGCTGTCAGCCAACACAGACCAAAATTTTGTTTGGGCTTAACAACTACCTAAAAAATGTGTAGAAAACTTCATTTGAACACATAGAGAACACTACACTAAATGGGACTACACTGCTCTTTTTTCCAGTTCGTGGTAGAACAGGGTGGTAGATGAGTTTGTAATCAATTAAAATTATGTCTTGTTTTGGGTAAAATCAAAATTTGCATTATATATCAACCAAAAGGTATCGGCAGACCTTATAGTCCATCGGTTTCTTTGGGGTCTCAACAAGCCTTGGCTATGAAAAAAAGATATTGGTCGATGTCTACTTGTAACTGCTATTTTTTAGTTTTGACTGATAATAACGTTTAAAATACATTATTGTGTAAATATCTGATCCCAAAGACCTCATCTGGCAATCATTTACATTGATAAAAAGAGTTTTGTCTTGAAGAGCATCTGACACTTTATAACTTAAGCCAAGTCGATGTAATCATGGCAAGCTTTGAGAATGACAAACTGCAGTGTTGAACTCAAGAAGGGAAAAGTCTTGAAACACGCTGCTGACTTCTACCACTGAACTGTGACCATTTCAACCACTTGCATATGCAGTGTGTACAGGCTATATAGTGACGATGACTGAAAATGGCAGAAGTGGATTGAATGACTGGTCTTATATGCATATTTGAGGAAAAAAGTACTTCCTTTTCCTAGTATAGTATTCTACCACTGTGCGACTGGGAATACACCTGCCTATCAAACTGCGCTTCCAGGCTTTCTGTATAGGAGAGACTATCCAGGATTTATATATTGGCACGTCATATTTGTGTCCTATTTCTATTCGCTGGTTGATTCTGGCACTGGGTACAGATCTGGGAGACTCCAAACACTTGCCCGCAGCTGTCAAAACAGTAGCTGCTAATGCCTATGGTTGACCACGCAGCCCTGTGTCCACTGCTCGTCCATGCATGAAAACTCTGGCTAGACACTGACCAGCAACTTGGCCTGTCCACTTCCAATCACAAACATTTACATAGTGGTCTTTTAGCTACAGTTTTACTCTCTATGTTTAGAAATGACTTTAGTTTAGGCACTGGCCACTTCAAGACTAGACACAGCTAAATGTGTTCTGACTAACTTTGTTCTTTTAGCTATTACGGCGTCATTATCTTGCCACAAATATGCTTTGATATTTCATAAGCATAATGCCTCCTCAAATATACTTTTTTCAAACTTTCTGAGAATGGTCTATATCAGTACGTTATTGATAAAAAAATACATGTGCATAGAAAGACTAGGCCTTACTTCATAAGCTAATGGCTAAATGCTCCCAAATGTAAAACATTAAGTGATCGTGTCTTCCTGGGTTTCCCCTAATTGCAGAATCCCAGAAACACATGTAACTGAGTAGTGCAGCCACAAATGAGTTTCTGTGGTTTATTTGAAGTTTGAAGACCTCTCTTTATAAAGTCATAGCACATAGCAGAGGTATACCTCACTCTCTGTCTGTGCAGGTGACAGGTCTGAGAGAATTTGAAGGTGTGGTCGCAATGTAACATAAAGAGAAGAGATAGAGTAGCATATAGGTTTCCAATGACCAGAATTGCCACAAGACAATTTTGTCTCTTTATACTTATGTTGTCTATAAAACGTGGTTCCTCTCTTGAAGCATAAGCCCTCTTTCAATAAAGTAATACATTTCACTCAAACTATTAATTTGCATATCACATATGAAATGAAATGAAAAAGATGTTACTTAATTTGCTTTAGTTTTGAAAATATTGCACAAAACTTCTATTTCTGTAAATTATCATGGCCACCTTTTGAAATATGCCGGAAATTGCTAAATGAAAATATTTGTCCGACCCCACCTTTATGTGTCCCAGGATACTCTTGACTCTTCCAACTTCTTCCTCAGTATTGGGGTGTATCCTGAAGACCTGATCACTGCAAAAACACATTTCCTGTTAGTGTTTGGTTGCATCAGGTATAAGAATTTGCTAAAGAAAGCTTGTTGTACAGCATAGCTTTTCTCAAATGAGGAAAACATCTGGGCCACAAGTAACTCCAGATTCTATATCCTAATTGAAGGTGGCATTCACAATAGCAGATGTGTGATAATGACATGGGTGGCTCCTCTTCTCCATGACAGTCAGATAAAAGGTCAAACCACAGTCGAACAATCTGACACACACTATTATGGCATTGCATTTCCATGAGCTGCAGGTGGAGTGGAGAGGACACAGGGGCAGCATCTGGTGGTGGCTCGGGCATCTGTTTCAGATACCTCCTGGACGCCTCCCCAGGACATGCTGCAGGGACCGGAGGAGCTGGAGGAAGTGTCCAGGGTGAAGGAAGTCTGGGAGTCCCTGCTTTGACTGCTGCCAGATAAGCAGAAGAAAATGGATGGCTGGAGTATCCATATTGCCAGAAACTAAATATATGAAAACAATTCCTTGCATCTGACAAGCCTCTCAGAAAAAGTTCAGTGAATATTATAGATAAAAGGTTTGAGCACACATCTCAGAAGACTTGGACTATGGAAGTCACAACAAGACACAAGGTGAATTTCAAAGCAGCTTTTCATAAAATAAAATGAAATAAAATGCAAAACATTTAAACACATATCACTGATATAAGAGACAAAACAAGATATGTTTTTATGATTCCCGTCTCTTTTTTTTTTTTTTTTTATCTTAAAATCAGTTTCAAGCACACAAAAGCTCTTTGTTAGTCTCAGTGCCAGTCCCTTCAGCTTAGCACAGCCTATGGCTTATAGCAGTTTTGAGTGTCCTCTTAAAATAAACATATCTCTGAAAGTGAACGTCTCTGAATCAATATTATTCTAAATCCAATAGTGCAATATTTTGAACAGGTGCGTGGCCATTTTAATAATAATAATAATGATACATCAGACATATATAGAGATCTTCGTGTTGTTATTATCTACATAAGACCATAAGACATTGTTCTGGATGCCACAGTAGAAATATTATTGCCTAAACTTGGGCGCAGAGGTTCAAACGTTCTAAACATGAGCTTAGTGGTAAGTACATATTTTACCTAATTATTTCTAAGTATCCAAATTATATGCTTATGAATAAGTCTCTTCCACATGTCTCTGGGTGTGCCCTGCTCTCAGTGCCTTTAGACATAGATTGCGCTCTTGTCATGGATGTCCTGTCTGTAATTACCTAAACATGTAGTATGCATGTTCCCCTTTTCGGACACATGTAATTGGGGCTGATGAAAGGCTAGTTTCCCAATGCCCTGTGCTCACTGCTTCTGTCTCAATATATAATAACAACAACACAGTGGAGCCTATAGGCCAACCTAGTGCAATTATATAGGCTTTACTGTTCATCCAAACATGTGTCCCAACAAAAGTAATGCTATGGCATGTAGAAAAAATAAATATGTGTATTAAATATACACATAAACATTTATAGTACCTGTCTTGCTACTGCAGTTCATTAACTACTGAATATTTTTGTGCATAAAAGCATGTCCAATATGGTTTTCTACAGGGGTCAGGGTACAAAATGTGTGACTATATTGAATAGTTAAAAATAAAACACTGATGAAAATAACTGATAGTAACTGATTGATAATTGAAATAAATAAATGTTGCCATTACAAGCTTATTAGCTATTTGAACTAAAATGACTTCCACAAGGTTGGTGCAGTTTGGTCAGTTAGGCTATTCTTATGTTATATTCTTATCTTTATAGCCTACAGAAGATTAGCATAGAAATATAGGGTACAATTGCAAACTAATCAACTCGATACTCTCGACATTTGTAAAGTGGAAAAGCGTAATGCATAATGTCTCTAATAATCAGGTCAGTTTTGACCATTGACACACAACGGTGCAGACATCCAGCGTCTCCTCTCAACATGAATGAACTCTCCTCTGCACAATAGCCCCAGCCTCGTTACTGTTACTTACCCTGCGTAGCGGTTATTGTAGAGATATCCACTGACGGGACATAGCACATGACTGCAGATTATCGCACATGTCAGTAAAACCCAGGCGCGAAAAACGCTCCTTTGGTCCATCCGCGCCATGCTTGACCGGCGCATCAAAGTCTTCCCAGGGCACTTTGAAGGATGCGAGCGCGAATAGTTGGATAAGACCCGAGCTGCAGAAAAAGTAGCAAAAGTTCGCTTCTTTTTTATTCAGCGTGTCTATCTCCGGTTTTTCACGGTGCAAAAGGTGCGAACCCCCGTCTGTACCAATGGGGGAAGCGTTTACAGCCCCTTTGAAGCCTTGGAGGGGAGTTTAGGGCAGCTCGTTTTAAAAGGCGAGGAGGACCCGGGTCAGATCACGTGGTTCATCAGCGTCGATGAAGTTGGTAAGGACCTCTGCGCGCTCACATCCAGCCTGCCTGCAGGTAGCACATCCAGTCTGGTTTGTATGTCTATCTACAGTGCACATAAGCACTAGATATTACCGCTGTGCTGTATCTCAGAGTGACCTCACTAATTGTAATGTCACGCCCATGTTGACAGAGATCAAGTAACTTACCTCCAGCACATTTTATGAATGGGCCAGTTCATCCAAGTGTTTGCTTTCAATATACTTTAACCCCAAAGCTTGTTTTGGATTGACATATTATTACATTAAATCATGTAATAGACAATACTGATGGGACTATGCACTGACGTAGGCTGACGTAGGCTGAATTGGTTGAAATTAGACACTGGTAATCCAAAATCTGTTTAGAGTACTTTCCTCATGTATAATGTTAAAGCTAGACGAATAATTAGGCTACATTTGACAGACAAAACTGTTTTCCTCAATACTAATTCTGTGGTGGCTTAAAATTTACAAGCTTGTAAACTGTTATTCATTTTCTCCCTGGTGTTAAGCTACCTCTGCAGCCACATCTGCCCTGGGGCTGACTGAACAGAGGTGTGGGTGCCAAATACCTCTCCAACCTCCAACAACTGTACACCAACAGTGACATCAGCCAGGTAGGCTACAGCTGGATTTGAATCATCAGGTTATGAGACTTGTGATTCACACCTGCTACCACCTTCCTGACTACATAATCTACTATCTCTCCTATAAGGGCCATTACCTATACTATAATACATATACTTTTTAAATTTCTTGTAGCATAAAGGCATAAGTCAGGGCGCGCACTGGCTCCACTTTGTGCACTTTTGTATTCAATTGTGCTGCATCAATGAGGAAGAGGAAGCCTTTTCAAGAGTTTAAAGAAAAAGATCCTGCCTCACCTTAGTGTGACTTTGCCCTTTCATCTCAGTCAATGGGCCCCAGATCCAAACTGAAAATCACTCAAGGCTTTCACCACATTCATAAGTAAAAATGTCAGAGTCATGCGATTATGTATCTGCTTGGTCTGCTTGAGGAATCCCTATATAAAGCATTAGATAATTGTCGCTATTATTCCTCACCCTTTCGTGCCGGGGTTTGATCCTTTACTTATCGCTCAACTCTGTGATTAGATGTCTAAGTCAACTGGCAGCCCTCTTGCTTTTGTGATCGCTTGGCAACAGCACATTTTTCACATGCTTCTCCCCAGTGTCAACGCCTCACCACCTGTTTTATGCCCAGCACTTATATAGAACAACTAACTCTGAGCTCATTCTGTGTGGACAGTGCACACATGACATGATGAGTCAATGGAGATTTCATGTTCTGAGCCACAGTGCTTTTTTGGTTTAACATATGGGCTATTTCCCAACTGTAAACAATCAATTAGTACTAAACTGAAATAGATTTAAAAGTAGGCCTAAATTTCTAAATAAGTGTTTAGCATTAAATACTAGCCTATTTATAATGACTACTAAAATGCATACAGTTACAACCCATAAATAAATAACAGAATTAATCACTTTAGTAGATAGATTGTATGTACAGTGTGTCATAGAAGTTATTTATTCAACCCTCTACAGCTCAAATCTTATCATATAATAGAAAAATACCCCAAATGTCCTTGCTAGTACAAAGAAAAAATACTACGATAAATACTGAGCATTTAAAAATGCTACCTTATAAAATACAAACAGTTCAGCCAATACTGTCCTTGTTTCTAAAAAATTGCAGCACATATGCATATTATTATCAGCTATTTAATAAGTACTGTAATTTAAGTCCAAAGTGTACTTAAACAATTTCATTTACTTACCATCTCTTGTCTTTCCTGAGCTGTTATGTTTTTTGCGGAAATCTCAACTCACATCATATAAAACAACAGAATGTGTCAGGGAGTCATTTCTCATCCACTCCAGCTGTAAGTAGCACTTTTCAGCTTGTCAGGTTAATTCAAAGCCTCACTACATCTTTGTTCAGTAGTCATTTCATAATCCACCTTTTTTAGTGGAAAATGCCGTCAAATCTAAATTGAACACTGCAATGTTAAATGAAGTGGAATTACTGGCAGCGTTTTTTCTCAAGAGCATAACATAAACCACTGTGTTTTTAACCTCAGCGTACAGAAGCATATTCATGTAAAAATGCTGCCTTTGCGTTCTATGTATATCGTGTGCTGGGATTTGTAGACTTGAGAGCTGGCATTGGATACACAGTGCGGTGGTCCCGTGTTGTTTTAATGCAGAGGAGGCCCGGGCTGTGTGTGTGTGTGTGTGTGTGTGTGTGTGCGTGTGTGTATATGTGTGTGCGTGTGTGTGCGTGTGTGTGTGGTGCTGGTGGGTTGGGTCGTCACTACTTTTGGGGCTGTGCTTGTCACAAAAGAGCCAAAGTCTGCAGGATCTCAGGGCAGCACCATGCTCCACTAAATCATCTTATTTCTGAGGCCTGAGTGGCGTGAATGAACCCTTTGAGAAGATAGGAAAAGGACTAGTTTTAATCCCCTCGCTATTGCTGATGAATTTTGCATATAGCTCAAAAAGACATTTGCTTTACTGAATGTCCAATGAAAGACCCCCTATGATTTGTTTTATAGATAGTAGTTGGTTCAATGGGTGAACAAGACCCTGTATAGTGTATATTAGGCCACATTTCACATTTCCCTCTCTCATTTAGACTTAGATTTTAGATTGACATAGCAGAGGTTATTACATAAAGGTGAGTTGTTGTACACTTGTATAGCATATGGTATGAATGTAGTCCTGTATTTAAGTTAAGGAAGCCAGCTTGGAACCAGTGCATCAAGTACACTGGCCATTTGTGGTTAGATTATAAGATACATTTTTCTATTTAATTTTCTTCACAAAATGGTACTTTGTCTCCACTGGAAAACAAACTTTGTTTATTTATGAATTTGGACACTAGGGCATTGAGATAGGGCATTGACTCGATTTTGATTCTAAATTCTAAAGTGTAGAGTTGTCCAAACCACTCCAAAATCAAGCAGAGAGTGCCCATAGTTGACCCTTGAACCTGTAGGGGAGAACTAATGCTGAGGGGTGAGAGGTTAAAGATGGCCGGTCATTTAGAAGACAATGTAGCCTTTTGGCATTTAGGGAAACTTTCACACTTGTAGCACATAGCAGCCTATAAGGATTTAAGAGGGATTTAAAAGTGACAAGCCATAAAACAAGAATGTGGATAAAATAAAATCTGTTACTGTTATATACACCTGCGGGCCACAAAATAGAATACAAGTACTCAATTACATAGCAACAGAATTCACAATGTTTTAGGTTAAATCTCTAACACAGGAATTTGGCATCTGAATGCAGTGCAGAACTGGCAATGCTATAATTGAAGAGGATCATAAATATTTTAAAATTACAACTTTTAGCCTCTTTTATTTGTGTGCATTTAGCTTGAGTCATATCATTCGTTCATTGCACTGATATGTCATTGGCATTGTCTATGTTTGCTCACTTTACAAGCAGTTGCCATGACACTATGTTGCTGACAGCACAATGCATCCTCCTTACCCATTACTTACTATTTATTTCAACTTCCTTGTACACGTATAAGTACTAGTCCTTAGTCTGTGTCGGCATTATGTCTGCGAAATTTGTAATAGGCATTTTTCTTTAGCAGGGCCCAAGGCAAAATGTAAAATATATACTACAAAATCCAAGCACCTCAACTCCTCTGCATACCTGGGTATATCCTCTCTAAGAGTGTTCTGTGCTCAAATTCATCTAATGACTACTTTTGTTCTTATTCAAATAAACATGAGTAAATTGGAGTATGTCTGGTAAAGATGTAATCCATTGCTGTTATTATTTAAAAAATCACTTTTGTTTTTGGCTTGTACAATGGAAGCTTGACTTAAAACGCTTTGTCCAATAGGATCAAGGCTTCCCAGCAGAGCACAGCAAGCCACTAAACCACAAATAATTAACTTAATTCCACAGACAGAACCGTGGGCAATAAAAATGCACTGTGGGGATTTACCTGCCCCACAATGCCTAATTTAAAACCACAAAGAGAGAGTTAACCACTAATACAGTTCAGACGTTTTAAGACACAGGACAAAATATGCTGCTACACAGTAAACGTCAAACAATAGTCAACTTTTTTCGGTCTTCTTATCCATGCAACAACAGTACCCTCTAAAGGAAAGATGAAGACATTGCAGTATATTATAAGTTGCAATACCAGCTATGACCAGCAGGGACCAGCACGTGTCCAAATTTGGTCTTGCCTTGATGGCCTCATGTCACCCCATACAATCCTGTTAGCAATAAAATCCACCAACAAATCAATGTTGAACGCACTTGTACACAAATCAAGACCATTCTCTGACTGGTCTTCGCTATAATTAGTAGTTCTTTTGATTAATGGAATTATATTGTATTATATTTAAATGTACTGGAATCTATTTGTTGATTAAATACATTTTATTGCCAGCATATTGCCTTATGAAAGCATTTGTCATTGAACATGCACTTATTTTATTCGATTCATTTATTTGCAAATAGGTCTTGTTGTAATTTCTTCACTGGTTTTACAGATTGAACCACCTTATATGTATTTTCTCTTCTCAATGAATTCATACATGTTATTGTGTTTATAATTGTTGTTTATTCTGGTAAGTGGATGGAAGAGCTCAGAGTAGAGCTGCTGCACCTCAACATCAATAAAAAACAGCTGCGGTCACTTGGGCTTCTGTTTGTGATGTCTCTGTG